GCTCAGCCCTTTCTTAGCTGAACTATGTTATTAAAACTTCTTCATAGATGTTGGGCTTTGCTCTTATGTCTACTTGCCGTCTTTTATCCCAACCCCTGTCCAGAGACCCTTTGTTGTTTCCAGGGTTTTTGCCCCCCCCCCGCTTACTGTGTAGAGGAATGTTGCTTCATGGCTGATGTTTGCTCACTCTCCCTTATTTTTCCTCGGTCAACCCCACAATCAAAAAGTAAAGCCAGTCCACTTCCCAGCCTCCCCAGCCATCAGGGGTGGCCTTGGGACCCCTTTCTGTCCCAGAGGGGTAGTGGAAGTCCATGGGGCAGATGCTTCTCTTTGCTGTGCCCTATTCTTTCTGCCTTGGTTTGCACACAGAGCCTAAAAGCGTAGTGGCCATATTGACACCTCAAGGATAAAAGGGTCACGCTAAGGCTGAGGAGGAGGCTGGTTTACTGCCGAGTTCCCTGAAGGCTACACAAGCCTTGGACTTCCTTTTATATGAAAAAATACGTATCTCCTCACCCACTGTTGAGCTGCTGTTCCTTGGAGGTTTTGTTAATTGCTGCCAAACACATTCATGTATCTGGATTGGCCATGTCGTAAGGTCAATAGAGCTGAATGAAGAAAGGCCCGTTGGAGAAGGGTAGGCCCCTGAGGGTGTCCAAACCGTGAGAAACCCAAGAACTTTGCTCAGAGTTGCAGCTACTGTGGTGCTGGTTGTTGCTGCCATCTAGTGGCAACAACTTGGAACTAAAACGCTCACCTGGGCCACGGACTGTTTTTCCGCAGATCCTTCTTCTTTCCTTCCATCATTCGTTCATTCATCCATACACTCACAAACTCACATGTTCATTCTAAAGATATTTTATGAGAATGTACTGTATGTGGCGGGTCCTCATAAATACAATAAGGAAATACAATAATGGGGGAAACCTAGCTCCTTACCCCGCCCCCCCTTGAAACTTACACACTGTGGAAAGACAGCCATTAATTAAATCAACATGAAAAACATGACTGGAAAGGGCTCTAAGAGAAGAACATGGTGCTATGAGAATTATTGGTAGGGATTTTCCTTATTGGGGAGATGGATAGGAGGTTAGAGAAGGCTTTCCTGAGGATGTTCTGACTGGCCTCAGGAAGGGAATTTTCTGGGCAGTGAGACCCGTCATGAAAGTGAGCTCAGCAAAAGGGAGGGAGTGTGTTGAGTACAGAGGAATAAGAGAGGACCATGTGTTTAAATTATTACTTGGTATTAAGCATTCTAGTGGGTTTTTTTTTAACGTTTATTTCTTTTGAAAGAGAGAGAGAGAGTGCAAGTGGGTTAGAGGCAGAGAGAGAATCCCAAGAAGGCTCCGGGCTGTCAGTGCAGAGCCTGACATGGGGCTTGATCTCACGAACCATGCGATCATGACCTGAGCCAAAATCAAGAATAGGATGCTTAACCAACTGAGCCACCCAGGTGCCCTTAGGCATTCTAGTTTTTTGAATTAAGACTATGGTTGTTAATTATAATGATTATAATATAATAATGACCTGATCATAAGCTGAAAAGATACAGGCTAACAGACAACTAGAGAACACTCAACCACCAACAGCGGAACACACATTCTTCTCAAGTGCATGTGGAACATTCTCCAGGATAGACCATATACTATGTCACAAAATAAAGCCTCGATAAAGCTAAAAGGCAGGCTTCAAAGTATATATAGTATGTTCTCTGGCCACAATGGAATGCAATTACTAATGAGTTAAAGTGAGAACTTTTTATATTTAAAAATATTGTTGGGGCACCTGGGTGGCTCAGTCAGTTAAGCATCCGACTTTGGCTCAGGTCATGATCTCACGGTTTGTGAGTTTGAGCCACACATCGGGCTTTGTGCTGACAGCTCAGAGCCTGGAGCCTGTTTCAGATTCTGTGTCCCCCCCACCCTTCTCTGCACCTACCCTGCTCGTGCGCTCTCTCTCTCTCTCTCTCTCTGAAAAATAATAAAATTTAAAAATTTTTAAAAATAAAATAAAAATGTTGCTAAAATTTACTATTTGGGGGGCACCTGGGTGACTTGAGAGCGTCCAACTCTTGATTCCAGCTCAGATCATGATCCCAGGGTCATGGGACTGAGCCCTGTGTTGAGCTCCATGCTGGGTGTGAAGCCTGCTTAAGATTCTCTCTCTTCATCTGCTCCTCTCCCCAGCTTGTGCTTCCTCTCTCTCTCTCTCTCTCAAAGAAAACAACTTGCTATTTTTGAATTTTTACAATTTTAAACATTACAAAGTCTCAAGCTCTGGGTATCATAATATAAATTATTCAAATCCCATTCCCCTAATGGAACATTCAATTATGGCATAATGTACTTTGTAATGTGACCGTGTAACTCTTTATAGAATCAAGCAAAGCTTATGAAAAAAATTCCTTACCATCTTGGGGCTTTATTTCAAACACCCTGACATTAAATAAAGGGAGTAAAAATAATAGTATGTTACCAGTGAAATAAACAAAGGTGTGCAGTCCACTCAGGAAGCTGTGAGACAAGGTCTAGGGCACTGTC